CCTCTGAACCCTTGCTTCCTTGAAGCTTTTGTAGACACTCGCAAGCCTTCACAGCAACTTTGTGCAATCTCCGCTTTTGATAGTGAACTTTGGCAACAGCAGAACTGTGTTTCTGGTCCTTGCTGGTGAGCTGATTGAGGCTTTCCATCTCAACAATTTGGCGATAACACATAGGATGAATGTACTTTCCAATAGCATCAAAAACCAGTCTTCTCATAATTTCACCCAATTTACTGTGTTGGCCAAGTGTTACTCTGTTGACGAGAACGAAATCACACTCGGGCTTGCGCAGCGGTCTGACGTACGAGATGTAGCCATCGAGAACTTGCATGTCTGCATCGGTCAGAATCAAAGAATCAAATCCTTACTTTCCAGCAGCCTTGAACGTTTTCTGATCAATAAATCCACCCTTTTCCTTAGCTGTAGCAATCATGTCCACCATCAAATATTGATAAGTCATGGGACGCGACCCCTTCACTTTAATGAACAGATACATGGCAACGAATTTCATGGCAAATGTCAAGTCTGAAGGGTTGACTTGAGCTGGACTCGATTTGCAAATCTTCACGGTATTTTCATAACGCAGCAGAGGAAATTTCACCACCTCCAACAACTCCTCCGTTATTGCCCAGTGGCCTCTTGCTTCCAGTGTCTCAATGTCAAAATCTTGCATCCACTACAATGTCATCATTTTTGCAACTGTCTTTCACGCTCTTTTGAGGTACAACTCTGTTGCAGAGAACTTTCGAAGAACTGCCTCCAGCGCGCCATGAAGTTTTCTGAAGTTAATCATTTCAGAAATGGCATCTATGTAGCCTAAACGCTCACATGTCCAAGCTTGCATTTGTCTTGTAAGTAGTCGATAAACTTGAACAACAAATCTGGAGAACACAAACTAAAGTCCACCACGTCAAAAGTCAACTCTTCCTCGTCTTCACAACAAAATCTAAAAAACTTAAAGCACCTTGTCTCTAATTGTTGAGCTGCGCGATCTTTCTTGCAACCGCCACCACTTCCATCTCATGAATACTTCACCAAAGTCACACAACAATGAAAATGAGAGAAGTAACTTTCCGGCATGTTTTGTAGTCTCACTTGTTTGATCTTGAATTGTGTTCACCATTGGAATATTTCTTGCTACCTTTAGCAAATCTGTGATTTCTTTTGAATTGGGCTTTTCGAGATAAAAGAACCAACTGTGCTTGGTATTAACATGTTTTCTGCACCCTCTGAATTTGAAATCCATCATGGTCACACTCTCGTATTGGGCAGTGATACAAGCTGTCGGTTTCATCCTTTTCCAAGTGAAGCCGTTTTGGTTTGGGTAATGCTCCATCGAAATCCGACCAATCGACTTTGCACTTCTTGCTCATTTTGCCTTTTGAAGAGCATTTGGCCAACACGATCTCCTTTAAATCTAAACCATAACCAAGGAGTCGATGACAAATAAAGGAACTGCATATGTTTGTATTTGCCAAGGCATGCCCTTACTTGCCTGCCCTCATTACTATTGTGCAAAATTCATGACAGTAAGATGCAACCAAACTTGCCGAAGCAGGTCTGAGTACACCTCATTGTTCGCCTTATTCACAAATGACACCTTAATTTGGGAACATAATCAAAATGCGTAAAAAATGACCCCAAATCTGTTCCCAAATGACCAATTTGGGGACAATATGTTCCATTTACAGACAGGAACTTGGAACAAAACAGTCCTAAATGTCCAATTGTTTAACAAACTGCTCCATTCATAGATGGGAATTTGGAACAAAGCGGTCCTAAAAATATCGATTTGGGAACGATATGTTCCGTTGGCATATGAGAATTTGGAACAAAACAGTCCTAATTTACCAATTTGGGAACGAATTGTTCTGTTTACAGAGAGGAACTCGGAACAAAACAGTCCTAATTTACCAATTCGGGAACAATGTGTTCCATTTACAGAGGGGACCTTGGAACAAAACAGTCCTAAATGACCAATATGGGAACAATGTGTTCAATTTACAGATAGGAACTTGGAACAAAACAGTCCTAAATGACCAATTTGGGAACAATCTGTTCCATTTACAGAGGGGACCTTGGAACAAAACAGACCTAATTTATCAATTTTGGAACAATGTGTTCCATGCACAGATAGGAACTCAGAACAAAACAGTCCTAATTTATCAATTTGAGAACAATATGTACCATTTACAGTTGGGAACTCAGAACGAAATGTTCCTCTTTTACACCAGAGTGAACGTTTTGTTCCTACCTTGTAAAAAATCTGGTCCTCTTATAGTCAATAGGAACACAAAAACGAGGAACAGTCGATACTAGAGGAACGTTCCTTTTGGAATATAGGAACAGCCAACAAAACTTAAAGTCAGCGAGAAAACGAGGCAAAGACTAAAGAAAAACTCAAAAAAGCGTAGGTCAAGCACTTAGGTGAAATGGAAACAATATTTAAAATCTGGTGAAGTTTGTTTCACTCAAACGTAGCAAAACGCGCAATGATAAATTTTTGGGAAGTGTATAGGAGGAGGAGGACGACGACGACGATGACGACGATAATTATTATTACTAGAACATGTTTGCTGTCTGCAAATACTTAGTTATACTTAGTTAGCTTAGTGTCTGTTGCTTCTTGACTCTGGAGACATTTTCCTTTTTAGTATGCAATGCAGTTTTATTCTGTCACATTCATCACAACAAGATTTATGCCAAATGCTGCCACAATGACTTTCAAATGTCCAAGCAATTCCATTTCCTTCCTCCAAATTTTCCCAGTCAACTGCTAAATGTAATTCTCCTGCCTAATGAAATGATGTAAAGTTGTGTTCTGTAGGGAGATATCCAGCACCAGAGACGTGTCCTTTTGAATCAGCAGGACACAAAGTGTTTTCAGTTGTTTCCTTCTGGAAATAATACATTTTAGCCAGACAACAGCTTCAGGCAATGACAAGCTAACACCTTTCTCTGCATCTCCAAATCAACTCATTTCTTCTTTGTTATGTTGAATCGAATACCAAAGACAAAATTTAGAATAAGATCCTGTTCCTACTATCTGAACAAAGAGGATGTGTTGCAGAAATGTGGAGAAAGGGCAGCAAGAGCAAGTGCAGATTAATTGCAAATTAAGACTGCCAAAAATTTCATATTTTTAGTAGGAAAATTATCTGTATAAGCATAAAAGATGTCGGTAATAGAAATATAACAATTCTAGACCTATGTACATTAATTTTATACAAAATGTTAGGTAAAACGTGCATGATTCATGAGAAAGGACAAGAACAAGAACTTCATGGGGCGGTCTCATGAGTGAAAAACCTTACCACTGTCAACTAGCTGGAATTAGAAAATCGGGCTTTGTGCTATTTATCAGGAATTGATTAGTATGGGAATGCATATAATCCTACTAAGTTTGGTGCTTGTAGCAAAATTTGCGAAATTCAAAAGTTATGCCACCAGATTATTTTGAGAAACTCTTAAAATGCTTTTGATGGTCATTTATTATCTGTTTACCATCTTTTTTCAAAGCCACTTAACAGATATCCATTAGTGTACGCTCTCTTAAAGTGGATATGAAGTAAAATATAATTGCTGCTTATTTGAAAGGCTTTTCAAAGTAAAGAAGAATGGCATTTTCCTTTTTGGAATATCTTTTTTCGTTTTAGAGATATTTACATTCTTGTATTGTGGAAATGGGGAAAGCAATGATGTCATAAATAGTTCCACTTAAACAGTAAAACACTGAATCAAGAATATCTTTAGAAATATTGGAGAGGAGTTCTTCAAACTTGGCACCAGAAATGTACATCACAAAAGAAAACAGAATGACACCTGTGTTGTTGCCATGGCAACACTCTTGGCTTCAGTCTCTTTTGTGAAAAACCAAATATGCCAATTTGCAACCCTTTAAAAAGGGACAGAGGGTCTCGCTCTCAACACACATGGTTCCCATATTGTCTTAACTCTCCCCATTGGATTGTTGGGAGTGGATGATCCTTGTTTAAGATCAAATCTGGGAATTTTAGTCTTAATTAAAACAGGATCAGCGGCATAACTGTTGTCATGGCGATGGCACTCAAGGTGTCATTTTGTTTCTTTTGTGACGTACATTTCTGATGCCAAGTTTAAAGAACACTGCTCTAATATGTAGTGGAGTGATGGAGTGATGGAGTGTTGAACTGTTTTAGTGGAACCACCTATGACATCATCACTTTCCTCATTTGCATAATACAAAAATGTAAATATCTCTAAAACGAAAAAGGATATTCCAAAAAGAAAAATGCCATTCTTCTTTACTTTGAAAAGCCTCTCAAATGAGCAGCAATTATTTTTTACTTCATAGGCACTTTAAATAGGTCACATATATGTCTTCTAGAAATCTCCAAATGAAATGCTGTTATAATGTACTGAGTACATACACAGTTGTTTAATTCAGGCACTGTGTTTTTAGTGCACTAGTCCAGCTCACTGAATGATACTTTGGTGTGCTGAAAAGTGCACCAATCAACCGTTGTACCAGTGCAAGCGATGTGTTGACAGTCTTGGGAGGCTGTACCATACACATGGTCTCTCAAGGACCTGGTGTATGCTTCTAACTATTTAACAGATATCTGTTAGTGTACTTTTTCCCATGTGAGGTCACACATAAGAATTAGAATGTTCCAGAATCTTCTTATAAGTCACGGCTGAATGACTGCTGGTTAAAGACTGTTCTATAGAAAGTTCTGAAAATTTCACTTAGACAATTTTTCGTAACAGCCATAGTCATTGAACACTAATTCATAATTGGCAATAGTCAATAACTAATCAGTTTATTATTCAATGATTATCCATCGATGATGTGCTAATAATATTGATGTCAATGATCATCGATTAATTACATCAAAATGTGTGCATCAGTTAATCTTCATGATTACGAACCATTTCTTCCACTTCCTGGGGGAAAGAGACTTACCATTTACAAGTACATCTAGATAAACAATTATATGGCAAGTCTAGTATTTTCTTACTTTTGATCCATGGTACTCTGTTTTGGAGAACATTTTGAAAAGGTGTTGGCAACTTTCCTTCTTCTTTCAAGCCTCTTTTCCTCCTGCAAAATAATTTGCCACTGACATAAAGACTAGTGAGACAATCTGAACAAGTGCAGAGTGCAATTTACAGCTCTGAAATACAGTAGTCAAGCAGGTCCTCACCCCAGCCAGTCATGATTACTCCCAGTTTCTATTGACTTTGGTAGTCAGCAAGGGCTTTTCCCCTTACAGAATATGAACGGGCAGATGCCATAATGAGACAATATCAGCAGTGTTGTGTCATGTGTGTATCTTCATTCAAGGTCCAAAAATAACTTACAATTACCGTTTGTCGAGAAAGCTTTGAATTTTGCTGTGGTATTTTAGGTTAATTTTTGTCATCTTAAATTCAATAATACATTGAAGTTGCAAAAACAACATTTTTCTTTTCACGCCAACACTTTTAACTTAATTTCCTCACAAAGATACGTAACAAACACCCTTGTGCTAAATCCAATATACTCAGCGACTATCTTGAGGGTTTGAGGACCAAATGTGATGTCACATGACAGATCTTTGAGAGCATTTCTGAGCTGCATGTGCTCATATTACAGTCTTGTGCAAAAGTAATGCAAGTGAATTTCAACGAAATTCCTGGCTTTTCTTGGCTTTTCGAAGAAATTCCACTTGAAACAATATTTCAAGGAAATTTCCCCATATTTTCATGATGCCTGTTGTCCCAGTCCACGCAAATTTTCGAACGATAATTTGCAGTGCGTGATAATTTGCTGGGAATTTTTGAGTGATAATTCGTTCCTCCCGTAAGTTCTCCACAATTTTTTGAACGATAATTTGCTGTTCCCAAAAATTTGCTGCAATTTTTCGGACGATCTTCCATCAATAGGCTAAAAGCTATGAGCGAAATAAATGACTTCTCTGAAGATTGAGTGTGAAAGAAGCTGTTAATCTGCCAAAATAACATCACAACTCCACAAACTGTTAGCTATGAAATTCACCTGGTTATTTCACTAAGAAAACCCGATTATTGACTGATCTAAAGCCCCAAAACACCACAGTTCCAATAAGTAAATGTACTTGATGTAGAATCTCTGCATGGTCTTGCATTGTTTGCTGCCATAGTGACTGTTCGTTACCAGGAATCAGTAGCTGCGAATGAAGAATTTAAAGTGCCCATGTCACCAAATTTTTTACTTTTTCATTCAAAAGTCCACATTAAAAAAGGCACTTCTGCCAAAAACTTTTTTGATTTGAACAAAATGCGAATTTTTTTTCATTTTTTTTAATCCTACTTTTGTTAGGTACATCCCTTCCGCTGATTGACAAAGTAGGGGTTCATCAATGACATCATGTGACATAGTTTCAGGAATGCTTGTTGCCATGGCTCCCTTGTTTACTATAAATGAAAGAGGTCATCAAGGTTGTTTTCACCGAATACAAACTGACTCAGTAATGTCCTCTATAGAGAGTGCTTCTAAAAAGAACGCAACCGATAGCAGTGGAAACGAAGGAATATCAAATCGAAGTTGAAGCGAGTGATTGGGTTTTGGGACTCGACAAGTCGCCAACAAGAGATAATTCGCTAGAACCTTACGTGGATGAACCCTTAGTGGATGAAGAGTGGCTCGTAAACTATAAGAAAGAGAAGGAGGAAAAAGATCAGCTAGAAAATGAGTTGAAACAACGCTTGGAAAATGTTGTATGAAAATGCTATGAATTACTGGTTCTGTGGTGGATAAAACGTGCTCGAGAAAACCAGAAAAGCTGTCTACAGATGAAAAAGCATTTATAGATCAGCAGATGCACAAGAACAGCAAGATGAAAAGCCACTAGATCTAGAAGAAGCTTGCAAAGCATGGGATTGCTGTGTGTTCGTCCGCCATGCAAAGTTCTTGCCACTGGCAAGGCTTATCAGGTTAAAAACTCGTAATAACTGTTAAAAACGAATAGTGGTTGTACAATCATGTACTATTGTAATGGAGGTCTTCCAGAATTGTTCAACCCTACAAGTTTAAGGGTCCCAAAGAATACTACAAAGGCAACGAAAATGGAGCAAAATACACCCAGTCCTTTTATAACAAAATAATAACCACGAGGGGGCTGGCATGGAATAAATAACAGCTGAATGGTTTTGTGAGTGTTCAGCATTGACAACATTCTGGTTTTCTATATAAGTAAAGAACCTAGTAACTTTTACATTCAAAGGAGGTTTTGATAACCCTTGTTTATGAAGTTTAGGCTGTATTGGGGTACGATATGTATTGCTGCCACTTTGCAAAACACAGAGATCATTGATTGTAGCGTGTGGCGTTTCCAGCTAGAGAAAGATGTGTTTTGATTGAAAATTCCTCACAACTTGTTGGTGGCTGTTTGCTTTAGTGGCTTAAACAATACCCAGAACTTGAGTTTTTGTTTTGTTTATGGAATGAACTGATCTTGCTGTCTTCATAATAGGGTAAGTACATTCTAATTCTCTGTGTAAAGAGAGTGAACTCAAGAGAACGAACCTACTTGAAAACATTTTGCAAATTTTATACATGTGAGATTCAAGTAACATATGTCATGGATAACACTGTATGTTACTCTCTTATACAGCGATCGATGACTGCATACGTGTGTAACGAGTATGCGTACACGAAGTACAAGTCCAGTTCCCGCCTCGGCGATCACGTGACAGCGGGGCTCATGTGGTCGGCCATGCTGTAGTTTTCGTCATTGCTATTTAGTGCATTAAATAAGTTGTTTTGCGGACACTGTTGTTTATTTACTTGTCGTTACATGGTGTCAGAAGTTTCCCGAATCCACACTACAAGAAAACCAAATGATTTGTGGCAGAAGTCGCCGAATTTATGAGCGAACGCAGTGGTGAAGATAGCGAACAGCTTCCTTCAACAAGTCCGATTTCAAGTTTGACAACAATGGCGAATTTCCAAATACCTCCTCCTGACATACTCGAGTTAAACGATGGTTCGACAGCGTCCAATTGGCGAACTTGGGTCTCGGCTTGGAATAATTACAGGTTGGCTACGAAGCTAGATAAAGAGGAAGAAGCGCGCCAAGTAGCGACCCTTTTGGCAGTAATTGGAAAAGAAGCGAACAAAGTGTTTCATACTTTTACATGGGCCTCGCCAGAC